CCCCCCCCCCCCCAAACCCTTAAAAAAAACTTACATAAATTTCTTATCTCAGATACGAAATGTCTACCAATAATTTTCAAAGTGCCCCCCCCCCCAACCAACTCTGAGGAGAACACCCCTACAATCGGAAAAAACTGTTCCACACGTCGCTAAAGTACTCTCTACTCTTTTTTTTTTTTTTGTCACAGACATGTGTGGACAACGCATTACGTGATTGTGCAACGTGCTTTTTTGTTGTTGTTGCCGAAAGTGCTCCAAAACCCTTTCATTAACACGTAAATGCCACCACCAGGAAAATGGAAGACGACAGGTTGGCGCAGACGTTCAATCATTCATGAAGCGTTTCAATTCATCGAACATCGAACACGTTTGACAAGGGCGTCGGCGATCTGTTCTTTCCCTTGGAGCAGCTGTCGGTACATTATTATTTCAGCTGGCAGTAGCTGGTTTTAATTTTTATAGCACATGCTAATTCGATTGAGAATAATGTACACAATCCACACACCTTTTCCCAAATACACAACAAATGTTTCAAGTTGGTAATTCGGGAAATTGTATGGGAATCAAATTAAGTCTTGTATAAACTTCTAGTTGAACTAACTGGCCAGATTTGAGTTGTCAACGAATCTGCTCAAATTCACACTGAATGAAATGAACTCACGTTTCCATTCTATACTTCCTGCCACCTCAAGGTCTATGTATAGGGCCTACCATTATTTAGGAACTTAAGTGGGTTTTTTTCCTTCCTCCTTTAAAAAAAAATAAGAAAACATTTTATAATCCGTTTGACTTAAAAATATATTTTTTTTAAAAACATCCATCAAAACGGCATCGTCATCATTCATCAAAACAACACCAATCATAACGAAACATAACATTGAAACAACATACATAATTATCAATACAAAGAACATGAGCCCGTATGACTTAATGCCCAACATTGAAACAACATACATAATTATCAATACAAAGAACATGAGCCCGTATGACTTAATGCCCAAGTAAAAGGCACTGAATGTATTCACCATAAAGATCTGAAAAAAAAAATATCTATATTTGGACACGTTTTCATTTATACGTTTCGGAAAGATGTCATGTTCGATTTTTCCCAATGACCGAACATCGATTAGTTCGTGGTCTGTGAATTTATTGATTGTTCACAGTTTCTGTACAGAACACTTTTCTGGTCGAACGCTACTTCGCTTGTTATGAACAACGACGTTTCTATTTCTCTGTTTATTAGCTATCATGTGTGGTATGATTGAAAGAACACTGTAAAGAGTTAAACTTTAAGATTTCAAATTTTTGCTAGAGATTAGACAGCAATGTTTAAAACATTAAATGCTACACCTGTCTGTTCTTTAAACAAAGGATTCCCAATCTTTTATGTTCCACCAACCCCTTTGACGTCAGATGAAGCCCACGGACATTTTTTTAGAATAAACTTTTTAAATGGATAAAATAAATTACAAAGGCAATGCAACTGACTCATTTTCACGAACTCCCAAGTATACCATGGACCATAGGTTAAGAACCCCTGCTTTAAACATTTAGCCCCGTAGACAAATAGTTTAATTCAAATACACATTTTTTTACAGTGATCCCCGGAAGTTGCGACACCCCCCTTCACCCGTCTGTGTGTCATGGTAGACCAGGTAAAACAAGACCAATCAAACAGCAACTTTGAGGTGGATGTAAGGGCGTCGGCGTTTTGGAGATCAGATGTGGCTCAATAAAAACGGCCCGGGGTGGGGGGGGGGTGGGGATGGCGCTGAAACGAAGCTTTTTATCACAAGATATTAATGACAACAACAAAAAAATATTATTTTAAATGATGAGAATTCCTTATTTCAATCATGTTCTGGAATTAACTTATGCCTACCAGAGTCTACAAATCTTGCTTAAAACATAACATTTGAACGTCTAGTTTGAGAAAGATTTTATTTTAAAATAAAAAAAATCGTTTTCGAATTCGACAAAAAATATAACACCCCCCCCCCCCCGATTTATGAATACCTATAAAACCGTTAAATATCTATTCAAATTAATATTTCGTGACAGGTTTTTTTAGTTGTCCTATTACGGATTCACTGAGACCTGAGGGTGGCCCTCGATGGAATCGTAGGCCATTATCATTGTTTGAAAGCCCATATTTAATGGTTTTAAAACAAGGTTGAAATGCTAAAATAACTGATATTGATAGTCGATTTTTTAAATAAAAACCTCATCTAAAGCTTCGACCCCACAGTTGAAAGAAAAAAAAGCTTATAAAAAATAACCTGATTTTCTTTTCTTCTCGTACTATGACACTGGCCCCCAAACCTTCAAGGGGTACGGAAACCCCAGTTAAGAACCACTGCTTTAGGTAGTTTCTGCCCCGCCCCCTTTCCTGGTTACATTCTTCATTTTAACATTAATTAAATGAATAGACTCGATATTTCATGCAATTCCCACTTTTACATTAGCCGTAAGCCGTGTCCCGAGACAGGATTAATGTTTTGATCAATGCGATCGTAAAAAAGGATTAAAAGATTGAGACCGCAAGATTACGACGAGTGGAAAGGTTTGACCTTAACTTGTAATGGTGGAAAAAATACGAAAATTGGTTCATGCGAGGTTGGGGGCCCAATTGGCTGTTCGGACTAATGGATTTATCGTGTTGTCTTTATTTATGTCATGTACTTCCTATATTGGGGAACGGGAGATTACAGGTCACAGCAGAAAGCAAAGCAGTAACTTATTTTATTTAAATA